CGCGCCGAGGGGAGGGGGCCGCGGCCCGTCAGCGAGGTGCCCGGGGCCACGGCGGCCCGCAGAGGCGGGAGCAGCCCACCCGGGCTGAGGGGCTGAGGGAGGGCCGGCTGGAGCCGCCTGTGCGGAGAAGACGGGGCTGAGGCAGCGGAAGAACATGGTCGTTTTCCCCAGAATGGGGTGGGGATGAGGGATGTGGAGAAAGTGCCAGATCTCAGCTCTCTCCGCAGGGGAAGGGGGGGGTGAAGGGTTGTGCCCGAGACCTCTGCTAACAGTTACAGGTGCAGCCCGGAGAGCAGAGGGGCTGGTTGGTGTAGCCTAGCGTGGCAGCTGGCTTGGAGGAAAGCCTTGCTGAAGAGCCATCTCACGGCAGATCCCGGAGAGGATGGGGCTTGGCGCGTAGGCGGAGGTAGTTACTGGTTTTACCAGTGCAAGGGTGAGTAGCCAAAACAGGAGCGGGGTGCATAACGTCTCGATTTGGGGTGACTGTCAGCCACGCAGGAGGAAGGCCCCGGGTGGCAGAGAATAAAGGGGGAGCGGGCTAGGAGCGAAGCTGCCATGGGCGAAGGTGGGTGCGGAGCCCTCCTCTGGAGGGACTTTGGCACCGTAGGGAGTCGTGACCTTGATTAGGGATTGCCCTAGAGAGAGATGTGGGACCGAGCAAACGGCTGTAATCAGCAGCCATCTTTGCAGGGTGGGAGCCGAGCAGGCTGCGCAGAGCTGTGTCCTGGCCTCCCCCGCAGCTGTGGGTGTGGGAAGGCGGGGGGGGCTGGTCAGGCGTGGGTCTGCAGCTTTCATCCTTTCAGTGCCTCAAGGATAGTTGAATAGCAAAAAAAAAAAAAAACCAGCTCAGCAGCCAACTCGGTGCTGTGAGGAGGGGGCAAAGGAACTATTTTGCAGGCATCTTGCTGCTGCGGAAATGGATTTCTTGAGGGGAGGGAGGTGCGTGTGTGGGTAATCTTTGTAGTAACGCTGTGCAGGGAAGAGAAAATGCCATTCGAGCGGCCCCAGATGCAGCGAGGAGTGGGGAGGGCGGACGGGAGAAGACCTTGATCGGCCACCCCACGGCCGTGGGCATGAGGGGGCAGATGTGACGTTGATCAGCAGCCACCCCTTGTGCTGTGGGGAGCAGAGAGGGGGGAGCAGCCCTTGGTTAGCAGTCTGTCTCCCAGTGCTGTGGCCGAGCCTGCCTGGTGCTGCAAGAGAGATCCTATGAGGATTTTTATTGCGGTCTCTTTGTTAGCTACAGACAGGCACGCACACACTCACAGCTTTCAGCCAGGTTGTGGGAGGTAAGTGGGGGAGGAGAGGAAGGGAGCGTGTGGGGCGGCACTGGGGAGCAAGGGGGCTGCGTGGGCCGGGCACGAGGGGAGCAGGGGGACAGGGCTGCAGCCGTCCCCACCACCACAGGAAAAAGAGCCCCTGCAATTTTCAGGGACTTGTTGGCAACTCAGCGAGGGTTGCCATAGCTTTTTATGTAGGGTGACCAGAACCGGCTGGAACTGGTTTGAGGCAGATCAGCTCCTGAACACAATGCAGTCACTGAGCTACTACAGTGGGATAGCTTCCTCCCTTCATGGCAGCCAAAAGCAGAGGAGCTTGCAGAAAGATACCATCCCAAAACAGTATGTGAATGCACACTTTAGACACACAGCACTGGTATGTGGCAAATATAGTCATAAAGGATTCTGTATATAAATGTACATATTTGCAGTAACTGAGATTACTTTGGCTTTTCGTGCCTTTTTATGCTTAAGGAATGGGCAAGAGCTGAGATTTATGACCCTTATTAAAATATTTTTGCTTTGCAAGGGTGGGACACTGGTTATGCAGTCTATTTTAAAACTAAACTAAATAAAATTGATTGAATGATTTGTAATTGTAGTTATGCTTGTGACTGAAGAATGCTGCTTTGCATGCTGTTTTATTTACAGGGTGCTGTCTTGTGGTTTTCTTCTTTAGGAGATGTTAAGGGGGGGGGGTGCTGTGCCTTTCTGTAAGGCCAAAAGGAAACAATATTGTTGTAGAATTGTGCATAAAAGCATTGCAAAGATGCTGTAAGGCATACTCGTTTTCCTTTTTTTTTTTTTTTTTCCCTTGTAGGCCTATTGATTGGGGCTGCCTTTAACCCTTTCATATTTGCAGAGGTAATGCATCTGTGGCAGTAACTGAGCATTGGCTAAAAAAAATCTTTCAAAGGTCAAGGTTCACAAGGTGAGATGTGGTGGTTTGGGTATGAATATAACAATAGCATGAAGGTACATGTATGTGAAAAGTAAATCTGGCTCCTGATTGCACACTTGGCACATTAGTAAGGAGACAATTGTTTAAGTGTTGCTAAAGAAATGCTATTAATGTCCTCCAGTTTTAATAGGATTAAAGCTATTATTTGTAAAGACTTACTGATATCTTGGCTAAATACAGTATTTTCACTGAAATATCTTTTATCCAAATATACGTGTTTTCACAATGTAGTGATATGGAATAGGCCTCTGAGTGACAATCATAAATTGTGGACCACATGGCAGTGAACTGTTCTGTGTTGTATTACAGCATTACACATTCAGAATTATCTGTCTAATTATTTAAAGGTTGCTTGTTTGGTCGTATCTGAGTAGCCTGATACTTACTTCTGAATTAAGGTCTTCAGTGTTAAACATATACTTAATATAGCCTACATAGGAAAAAAACATGTAAAATAAATAGTATGGGTGGCGTTTCTTAAACTGTTGTAACCCAGGGAGGATTTTGCAGCAGCCAAGTGGAAAGATGTATTTTAGAGGTTTGATGGAGCTCCAGTGGGTTATTAGTGGCATGAATTATAATATTGTGCAGTAATGAAATAAGAATAGGAAACCGGATGGGCAGTGCATCAGCTCCTGAGGGATGACTGCTTTTAACTCAAAGCAATGGATAATGGAAAGGATTTTTTTTTTTCCCCTCTCATCTAAAAAATAAACGTGTACTTAGATTTGAGCTGGCATTTGTATCTTATAGTGAAAGCTGGAGGATTCAGGGAGAGGGAGAGGCGAGAGAGAAGAAAGCAGTAATGAATATAGCAAAGGGAAGAACAAAGGCTGTTGGAGCTTACACATTGGAACACTAAACATTTTGCCTTGGGGATTCTTTTGCTAGAACTGTTACATCCTATAACAGGAAATCAGCAACTCTAGAATCTTAACCAGTATGATTTTTAAAAAATCTGACCAGTCCTGGCTGTGTTAGCTGGTTTGGTAGTCTACAATCAAGATAAATATGGAGGCAAAACACTGAAAATGTTCTGTTCTAGTGTGAAATGAGGGTCTTTTCCTCTGTGCTCAGCAGAATAAAGTAGACAGTCTTAAAAGCCTTGAGAGGTTGTGGATATTGGGTAAGTTGTGTGGTGGCTGATGATAGGCAGGGTGCCTGCATCAGAGAGTGACAATACAAGGGAATCTTTTTATTTCTGACTGCAGTATATTACGTAAGGTATTTAGATATTAATTGTAGAAAAGTGAAAATAGCATGCTAATAGCTAATGCTAATAGCTAATGTTTAACCTGAAATTACGGTTTTATGGGGTTTAATGCAGCTACAATGTGTGTGGTTTCTCAGATTTGATAGGGCAGTAAATAGCTTGTGTGGTGGAGCAAAATGCCTAACAGATCACTGTGCTGAATTCTGTTCATATTTTTCATCATTTGGATGCAGAGGTTCTATATTTGACTATCGACATCTGTAGCAAAATTATGCTTGCAAACATGAATTCTTGTTGCATGATAGGAATAGTATCTATTGCTGCTGATGATGCATGTTCTTTTCCAAGTGTCAGCTAAAATTCATGTTACATGAGAGCACCTTTCAGATTTTTTTTCCTTTCTACTAGAATAGTAAGCAGTTCTAAAATTGTAAGTTCTTGAATTGTCACAAAATTCAATGTATCTGTTTTGTTTGGATTTTTGAACACAATCTGTACTACGAATTTTTATTTTTAGCAAAGGAGGTTTTGAATTTGCAGGGATTTTTGTAGACTGTAAGATGAGAAACCTGAATAGATGCTGGAGTCCGCAGTGTTCTTGGTGAGTTTTATTTTTTCAGTCTAATAATATTTGTAAATGCTCTTCACCAGGAGATTTTGATTTTGCACGTAGGCCAGCTTTCCAGCAGAAGATGCTGCTTAATGCTGGAGGGTTGGTCCTCTGTATCAGCAATCATGATCTCATTTTGCATTGAGGCTTGTCTCAGGTATTTGATCTTGAGAATAAGGGTAATGATTTATCAAGTTCCAAGCCTCTTTTGAATGAATTAACTAACTTTGGTTTTCTTAGAAGTATGAATGTGTGTTAAAATATAAATACGCAGACAGATTGCTGGGAAAGTATGTTTAAAAAAAAAAAACCAAAAACCCAAAACTTGACCCTAACGTTTTAGGGCCTGTTTGTTGCTAGTGTTGCACAGGAGGGCCCTCCCTGACTTGGAGTGCTCTCACGGAGATTGTCTGCAGCTGCTTCACGCTGTTTATGAGCAAGAATTGCCATCCACTTAAAAAAAAAAGTAGATTAAAGGAAATAGGCAGGAAGCAAAGGCCATTTAGGATATGATTCGAATTTGCATTAAATTAGGAATCTCAAAATTCTATTCATTATTGTTGTACATCCCAATTATTCCCGTGTTACTGTCCCAGCCCATTTTACATATAGAAGGACAAAATTAAGCAATTTTTGTAATTAATTTTTAAGTAGAGTGCAGAAAGAATGGTATGGGGATTTACCTGCTTTTCATGAATTCATCTCCATTTTAGGAGAAATTCAGGAAGTTGCTAGGCCCAAAACCTTAACTGGATCTCTTGATAAATACAGGTAGTTTTCATTTGGCCAGCTTTAGGTAGAGACGGTCTGTTCAGCTCCCCATGGTGTGGGAAAGGAGATACCTTGCTCGTGTTGAAATATCCCTGGTCTTTTTGCCAGCCAAGGGCTGATAATAGTGAGATTTGAACGAGTTGCATGTGGTTCTCTTTAAATTGTGCTGGAGGTGGTTCAGTGGTGGTGCAAGAAGAGGAAATGGACAGACTTCAGAAGATACACCTTCTTTTTCCCTTCCTGTTTTCTCTGACCCAAAGAGAACTTGAGATACCCATTTTGCAAAAAAATAACAAAGTTAAAAAATGGAGGAGTTAGGCTACAGGATGAGTCTTCTAAGGAGTCGTAAACTACAAGTAATTCTAATTTGGCTGTCAAAACCTGTGGAAATTTGCTTAAGAAAACAAACAAAAATTCTCAAGAACTGTTTTTACTTCATTTTACCTAGTGCAGGGGAAAAGGGCTCATCTTTTAATAGGTCAGATAAGAAGGATCCATAATCAGATGCAGGATATAGTAGAAAAGAGGACAAAGACAATTACCCGCTCTTTTATAATCAATTACAGGGATGGGCGTGTTTTGAAAAAACGGTAGTAACATGCTTACAGTTGTAAAACAACTCAGGCTCCTTTTGGGGAAATCTTACGTGTTCGTTTGACATGGTTTGGTAATCCATAATTGCAAAACTCAGCTAAGCGATAAGCACAAAGAGCACTTTGCCATACCTCACATGAAAGACTGAATAAGAGACTCCTCTGCAGAGATCTTGTATTCCTAAGGCTCTAACCTTGAATCCATGGGCAAACTGATTGGAAAAAGTTTTGCCTGTATGAATTAACAGCAAACAAGGCAGCATAAATTCTCAAGCTTTAGTCTGGCTGCAACTGCATCTGCATTCCGTGCGTGGAGATAAGTATCATCCTCGTGGCCTCTGGGGACTCCCAAATTATTTTGTTTACCAGGAAAAGACAATGTGCATACATGTGCACTGTAGGTCGGTCTCTATGCCAGGTTATGGCAATGCACCATGAACATCATGCAAGTGCCATTCAGTATCTTTGTGATATTTTTCCATGACTTCCATCTTCTGCCATCCCAAATGTAATTTGCTACCATTGCTTTCATTCCTGGTGTATGTGATTTTTGAACTCCCAAAATTTTTATGGAAGACACTCCTGAATTGAAAAGTTAAAAATACTGTAAACAGTTAAAACCAAACTGCACTTCTATTCAAATCAACAGAATACACTTGGTAATGCATTGACTTTGGTGGCTTTATTGCCTGTTTGTTTTCAGCATTTGGTAGTTTAAAACAACTCTTGCAGCCAGTGTGTGGTTTAACAGGCTTCTGTGGTATTCTAGAGCTAGATGAATAAAAGCAGAATGAGTGGAGGAATGGGTTTGTTAAATAATTTTTTATCATTTTGTAAATATTTTAGCAATTATTCTAATGTCTTTTGTGTATAATATTGAACAATATTTTGGATTAATAGTTGGGAAAGGTTAGCATTCAAGTTTATTTCCTCCCTACAGCATCCAGATTTGTTTATAGCATCTTAATTGTATAGCTCGCATGAAAGTAGATCAAAGTCAAATGCGAACTGGTACTGTCTGCTGTGGAAATGGGCCGCAGAGACAGCCGTATAAATCACAACCACTAGCTGAGCTTTGTGTAGCTTCTGACCCTGTCCCAATTCCAAAATGTTCTACCTGACCGTGGCTTGAGCTGGGATTGTGCTCTGGATCAGCAGCAAATGGGCAATGATTTGGTAAGCTTCCATAGCTTGCTTCCATTTGGTGGTGCACTCTAAGAATGCATTTAGATATTGTCGTAAGTGGGTGGTAAGGCAAATTAATGTGAGTAGGTCTGAATGCTAATTAATGGTTTAAATCTTTTTTACTGTGAGGGTGGTGAAATGCTGGAGTTGCCTTGAGAGGTTTTGGGGCCTCAATCTTTGGAAATACTCAAAACCTGACTGGACAACATCCTGTGGGTCCTGCTACAGCTGACCCTGCTTTGAGCAGAGAAATTGGAATTCCAGACATCCCTTTCAACCTCAGCTGTTCTGAGATTCTGTGATGAAATGCCTGTTGAAAACTTTTTTGGGCTAGTAAAGAATAAATCCCGAAATTCTTCTGAAACTGTTAGCAGCAGCGTTAAACCTGCACTGAGTAACAAAAAAAAGCTAAAAATTTTAATACTTGAAATATTGGGCTAACACTTATCCTCCAAAGCTTTTTTGAGGGGGAGGAGGGAGGAATAAAATTGATAGAATGTTCTTTTAGAAAACCAGAAGTGCAAATTCAGATTTCTCTTCCTCATTGAGGCTCATACATGGAGACAAATTGGATTTTCTTTTTTTTAAGGCAGATAGG